TTTTTGAGACAGGTTTCGCTCTGTTGCCCAGGCTGAAAAAAAAAAAAAAAGTTAGACTTTCTTGAGGAAGTGGGGGGCTGAGGCAGGAGAATTGCTTGAGACCAGGAGTTTGACACCAGACGGGGCAACATAGCAAGACCCTGTTTCTACAAAAATTTAAGAATTAGCCAGGTGTGGTGGTGCACACCTATAGTCCCAGCTATTTGGGAGGCTGAGGCAGGAGGATCTCTTGAGTCTAGAAGTTTGTGACCAGCCTGGGCAATATAGTGAGACCCCGTCCCAAAGGAAAAAGAAAATTGCAAAGTAGAGAAGAGATTTGAAAGAATCAAACACTGGGCCAGGCGCTGTGGCTCATGCCTGTAATCCCAGTACTTTAGGAGGCTGAGGTGGGTGGATCACCTTTGCTCAGGAGTCAAGCTTGGAGAACATGGCAAAATCCCGTCTCTATCAAAAATATAAAAAATTAGCGGCCGGGCGCGGTGGCTCAAGCCTGTAATCCCAGCACTTTGGGAGGCCGAGATGGGCGGATCACGAGGTCAGGAGATCGAGACCATCTGGGTGAACATGGTGAAACTCCTCTCTACTAAAAATACAAAAATTAACCAGGCGTGGTGGCACATGCTTGTAATCCCGGATGCACAGGAGGCTGAGGCAAGAGAATCTCAAACCCAGGAGGCAGAAGTTGCAGTTAGCCGAGATCGCGCCACTGCACTCCAGCCTGGGCAACAGTGAGACTCCATCTCAAAAAAAAAAAAACAACAAAAATATTTACCGAATATTCAGTGCCAACCACTGAGAATATGATGAGGAAAAACAGACATGCTGTGGAAGGTGGGTGAGCAGCAGAGGGGCAGAGACTCAACACATCCCTTAAATAGATATATAAATACATTATAAATCAGTCCTTTTGGATATCATGAGAGCCACAGGTAGAGAATCTTAAGTATAAAAGAATGAAGACTTGTGGCTCACGCCTATAATCCCAGCACTTTGGGAGGCCAAGGCGGGCAGATTGCGAGGTCATGAGTTCGAGACCAGCCTGGCCAATGTGGTGAAACCCCATCTCTACTAAAAATACAAAAATTAGCTGGGCATGGTGGCGGGCGCCTGTAGTCCCAGCTACTCCGGAGGTTGAGGCAAGAGAATTGCTTGAAACCGGAAGGCGGAGGTTGCAGTGAGCTGAGATTGTACCACTGTACTCCAGCCTGGGTGGAAGAAACTGTCTCAAAAAAAAAAAAAGGAATGGACTTTTTTGGCCAGCACAGTGGCTCACGCCTGTAATCCCAGCATTTTGGGAGGCTAAGATGGGCAGATCACTTGAGGCCAGGGGTTCGAGAACAGCCTGATCAACATGGTGAAACCCCACCTCTACTAAAAATACAAAAATTAGCTGAGTGTGGTGGCGGATGCCTATAATCCCAACTACTCCGGAGGCTGAGGCACAGAAATCACTTGAACCTGGAGGGTGAAGGTTGCAGTAAGCCGAGATCGTGCCACTGTACTCCAGCATGGGCAATGGGGCAGAGGGCAGGACTCCATCTCAAAAAAAAAAAAAAAAAAGTTAGGACATTTCTTGAAAGATGGCGGGGCCTGAGAGGCAGAGAGAATTGCTTGAGACAGGAAGTTTGACACCAGACGGGGCAACATAGCCAGACCCTGTTTCTACAAAAATTTAAGAATTTGCCAGGTGTGGTGGTGCACACCTATAGTCCCGCTATTTGGGGAGGCTGGAGCAGGAGGATCTCTTGAGTCTAGAAGTTTTGTGACCAGCCTGGGCAATTATAGTTGAGACCCGTCCCAAAGGAAAAAGAAAATTGCAAAGTAGAGAAGAGATTGAAAGAATCAAACACTGGCCAGGCGCTGGTGGCTCATGCCTGTAATCCCAGTACTTTAGGAGGCTGAGGTGGGTGGATCACCTTTGCTCAGGAGTCAGGCTTGGAGGAACTGGGCAAATTCCCGTTCCTCTATCAAAAATATAAAAAATTACGGCACGTGGCGCGCGTTGGCTCCAGGCCCTGTAATCCCAGCACTTTGCGAGGCCGAGATGGGCCGGATCACGGAGGTCAGGAGATCGAGACCCATCCGTGGCGAACGCAGTGAAACCCCGTCTCTACTAAAAAGTACAAAAAAAAAACTAGCCGGGCGAGGGGTGGCGGGTGCCCTGTAGTCCAGCTACATGGGGAAGGCTGAGCCAGGAGAACTGGCTGGGACCCTTGGGAGGCGGAAGGCTCTGCAGTGAGCTGAATCCGGCCACTGGCACTCCAGCCTGGGCCGACAGAGCGAAGCTACCGTCTCAAAAAAAAAAAAAATAAAATTCGCCGAGGCCTGGTGGCACGAGCCTGTGGTCCTATACTTGGAGGCTGCGGTAGGAGGATCTCTTGAGCCTGGGAGGTGGAGGTTGCAATGAGCTGAGATCATGCCACTGCACTCTAACCTGGGTGATAAGAGTGAGACTCCATCTCAAAAAATAAAAATAAAAATTCGAGGCAGGAATGCAACAGGAACCAAATCTCATAAAGTGCTCACATTTTAATAAAAGAGATATAACAAATGAACAAAAGTCCATTAAAATGTTAGAGGAAAAAACCCAATAGGATGTGTTACTAACCAGAAGGGGAGAAGGGATTTGCAGTGGTTAGGAGAGCCCTTTCCCAGAAGATAAGCTGAGACCTGTGCCAAGAGGGAGGCAGCCATGCAAATACTGAGAGGCAGGAAAAAACGAAGGGCCAGTGCAAAGATCTAGAGAGGGAAAGAACTTGTCTTGCTGGAGACGCAGCCAAGGTAGCCAAGGAGGGTACTGAGAAGAGTATGTCTGAGTGAGCAGGCAGGGACTCTATGGAGTAGGGGCTCAAAGGCGATGATTAGGCCAGGCGCGGTAGCTCACGCCTATAATCCCAGCACTTTGGGAGGCCGAGGCGGGTGGATCACGAGGTCAGGAGTTCAAGACCAGCCTGGCCAAGACGGTGACACCCCGTCCCCGTCTCTACTAAAAATACAAAAAAAATTAGCCGGGCGTGGTGTCAGGCGCCTGTAATCCCAGCTACTCGGGAGGCTGAGGAAGATAATTGTTTGAACACGGGAGGCGGAGCTTGCAGTCCAGTCTGGACTCCGTCTCAAGAAAAAAGACACAAAGGCGATGATGAGCAGTTTGGGTTTTGTTTCTACTTACACTAGGACGACACGAGCGAGAGCATCCGTAATGAACAAGGGGAAGAGTGAAGCCACTGACTCGCGAGGTGACCGTGGGCAAGTTCCTGAATCTCGCTAACGCTCTTTAACCCCCTGGAAAATTGTTCGCTAATCGTCACATTAAACGGCTGCGAACGGGCCACGCTCAAGGCTTCGGGGCTGCAGCCTCGAGTTTACCTGTCCTCCAGGACCGACTCCATGGGCTCCACCCCGTCAGTGTCCACCGCACGTAGCCGGTCGGCGAAGGCGATAGCTTTCTCCAGTCGCGCCACTGCCTCGCAGCTGCCGAAGTCCACAAGCGCTAGACGCTCCAGGTGCTCGATCACCTGGGCCGTGATCCGGCCACTGCCCTGGAGGAGGAATGAGGCAGGGAGTGTGGGTCACCGGCGCCCCGGTGTGCCTCCCGGCTTGCTCCGCCACCCGCCTAGATGGCCCTGGCCTTTACCTGAGGATCCGCCTTGGACGTGAAGCCCTGGCGCCCGCCCAGAGGGGCCCGAAGGCCCAGCCACACCAACCGCGACCACATTTCTTCCTTCCTTGGCCCCAGTAGTGCGCCCGCGCGTAACGCCGAGCGACGCGCCTAAGAGTGATGACATCAGAGTGCGCTGCCGCCGCCACCGACACCACTGTCGCCATGAACAGTGTGGGGGAGGCATGCACGGACATGAAGCGCGAATACGACCAGTGCTTCAATCGCTGGTTCGCCGAGAAGTTTCTCAAGGGGGACAGCTCCGGGGACCCGTGCACCGACCTCTTCAAGCGCTACCAGCAGTGTGTTCAGGTGAGCCCTTCCGCCTCTGTTTCCAGGCCTCGCATTCTCCGCGCTGTGTCCCACTACACTCGTCGTGTTTTATGGGGGTTGGGACTGGACTGGAAGGGTGGAGAAAAGCCGCAGTGAGGTCAGTGGCAGGAGCTCGCTCCCCTATCATCACCACCGAGGCCGTTTAGGTGTCTCCCCGAATGACAAATATTGGTGCAGTGCTTTTGTTTTTAAGACACACAGTCACATCTTTTGGTTCATTTGGTGTTCATCCTAAACTCGCAAGGTGGGTATAGTTACTCATATTTTATACATAAAAAACTAATACCCAGAAATAGGAAGTGATTGATCCGAGTTCACTAGCACCAGGTTGCCTTGATTCTTTCGCAGGTGGTGCACTTTTCCACTATTACAGCTGAGGTCTGGGCGGGGTTATACTTCAGACTGGAGGATCACATTATTTTGATGTTATAAACCCTTCGTTAGCCTGTTTATCTCTCTTGACCAGTCCCCGCAACTGCAACTAGGAAATGTTTATTCTGGCCCAATGGATGTGGAACTGCTTTGAATTGTTAGAACAGCACTGGGCAAAGCACTTCCAATAAGTTAACCCAACACATCCTCACAGCAGTTCCCCGAGGTAGTTGCTGTCTTCATCCCATTTAGTTGGTCACATAGCCAGTAAGTCTTTCACCAACACAAAGTGATGATTATTTTTCAAATTTCACTTAATTTTAATGGTTCCCTCACAACTCCTTTTCCAGTCTCCCTCAGGTCTTACACTTGATTTATTCATTATGGTACTTTTGTTTTTTTTTTATTTTTGAGGCAGAGTCTCACTGTCTCCCAGGCTGGAGTGCAATGGCACAATCTCAGCTCACTGGCAACCTCCGCCTCCCAGGTTCAAGCTATTCTCATGCCTCAGCCACCGGAGTAGCTGGAATTACAGGCATGCACCCCCATGCCCAGCTAATTTTTGTATTTTTAGTATAAACAGGGTTTCGCCATGTTGGCCAGGTTGGTCTCTAACTTCTGGCCTCAAGTGATCCACCTGCCTTGGTCTCCCAAAATGCTGTGATTATAGACCTGAGCCACCACACCCTACTGGTACTTGTTTTTTAAAAAGTATGTGGTTTGAATCATGGTTATAAGTCTTTATAATCAGCTTGATTTTACTTTTGTGCTGTCATATTTTATTTACAAAGCTTGCAACTTGAGCTTCATATAGATCCTTATAATGTGTTTTCTCCTCCTACCAGAAAGCAATAAAGGAGAAAGAGATTCCTATTGAAGGATTGGAATTCATGGGCCATGGCAAAGAAAAGTCTGAAAATTCTTCTTGACCTTGACAGTCACCTTGAAGGATTTCTCAATCCAGAAATTGAGGACTCTGGATTTTTGTCAACTAAATCTGTGAACCTAGCCATCAGATTTGATGAGGAACTTAGGAGAGAGGAGTTTTATTTCCCCCTTTGATGTTTTCCTCTCAGTTGTAAAAGATGAACTCTTTGAGATGATTTCTTACCTGCTGTGGCATCTGGCAGGAACTCAGTGTGCTAAAATTGAACAATTTTTTGAGATTATGGTTGCAATACTTGGTGTGGAATCAGCTTTACATAAATAACCTTGTATGCAAACGATGATAAACTAGTCAGGATGAGCAGAGCTGCCTGACCTCTTGATTTCTGCTGCGAAAGACATATACACTGTACTGGGGTCATCGTTCATGAAAGCAATTGGTTAAGACCTCTTTTTTTCTCTCAGGGAACTAATGCTCTGAAAAAGGATCTGGGCACAACAGTTTCAGTGAGTGCTTTTGAGCACACTTTTATTTTTATATAGTAACTAATGGTTAAGATTGCTGGTGGCCTGGATTAGCAAAGAGGAAGACAGCTTTTAACACAGTTCCCTGCCTTCACCAGAGGTGTCAGATTAAGATGTGAAAGCTGCAAGAATGTTGGAATGACCACCATTTCAGAGCTCTCAGTGTGTAGTTCAGGAATTAAGATATTTGGAATAGCTATGGAGAAAGAACCTAAATTGCAAAGATCTGCAAGTCAACCCAAGTCAGTGAATTGTCAACCTGCATATCCTTAAAATGCTGCATCTGGTTAAATGGTGGGCGGGTGGGGGGGGAAGCTAAAGGTGCTGGCTTTATTTGCCTTGTTTACTCATCCTGCCCTGTAATGTCTGTAATCCTAAAGATGGAATAAATTGTAACATTTAGTTTCTATCATTATTTGCCTCTGGAACTCGGTGCATTTTATGGAACTATTACCCTGTTACCCTACAAACCTCATGTATACACCAGGGAGAGTTTTGTAACTTAAAGGTGAAGAAAAAGTGACTTGTCTAAGCTAGGTGGTACAGTATGGCAATCAGAAACCTCACTGATTTTTTTTTTTGAGACAGTCTGGCTCTGTCGCCCAGGCTGGAGTGCAGTGGTGCAATCTCGGCTTACTGCAACCTCCACCTCCTGGGTTCCAATGATTTTCCTGCCTCAGCCTCCGAATAGCTGGGATTACAGGCGTGCACCACAATGCCCAGCTAATTTTTATATTTTTAGTAGAGATGGGGTTTTACCATATTGGCCAGGCTGGTCTTGAACTCTTAACCTCAGGTGATCTGCCAGTCTTGACATCCCAAAGTGCTGGGATTACAGGTGTGAGCCACTGCACCCAGTCAAAACCTCACTGATTTCTAAAATTTCCACAACATGCTACACAAATACAATATGGTACCAAAAAAGGATCAGGAGAGCACTTACCTACCTCAGAATGTCACGGAATCCCCACAATTACTTGAGTAATTTGGTTTTATTATATGCCCAAAGAAGTATGAAACTTGAATTACAGGCCGGGTATGGTGGCTCATGACTGTAACACTTTGGAAGGTGAGATGGGCCGATCACTTGAACTTAGGAATTCGAGACCAGCCTGGGCAACATGGCGAAACCCCATCTCTACAAAAAAATTAGCGGGGTATGGTGGTGTGGGCCTGTAGTCCCAGCTACTTAAAAGGCTGAGGTGGGAGCATCACCTGAGCCTGGGAGGTAGAGACTGCAGCGGGCTGTGACTGTGCCACTGCACTCCAGGCTGGTTGACAGAGCAAGACCCTGTCTCAAAAATAAACCAAGAAACTTGATTTATAGAAGGCCCTAATTCTATTGTCTTGTCTCCACTTTACCAGTCGCTACATCATATTTAATGTGACTTGTCCGTAATGTCACTTCAAAACATTCTTCATATATATTTTATGACTGGCTAGGGTCCATTATCCAAGGATTATAAAAGATGTTTGGAACCTAGCCAGGGGAGGCCAGGCAGCAAGCTGAAGTATAATACATCTGTCCTAAACTCACACTGGCCACAACCAAAACAGCCCTATAGGGACTCAGAAGTACAGGCTGTTATATCACAAAATGGGAAAGATAATGAGATTCTCTATTCTGTACTGTATATGCCTTACTTTTGCATTACCAGTTTAATGTAATACAACATGAAATACCTCGTTGCCTCTTGAACCTACCACGAAAGTGTTCCTTTGAGCCTTAAGAATAAACCAACTGGCCGGGCGTGGTGGCTCACGCCTGTAATCCCAGCACTTTGGGAGGCTGAGGTGGGCGGATCACCTGAGATTGGGAGTTTGAGGCTAGCCTGGCCAACATAGAGAAACCCTGTCTCTACTTAAAATACAAAAAATTAGCCAGGTGTGGTGGTACATGCTTGTAATCCCAGCTACTCAGGAGGATGAGACAGGAGAATTGCTTGAACCTGGGAGGTAGAGGTTGTGGTGAGCCAAGATCATGCCATTGCACTCCAGCCTGGGCAACAAGAGCGAAACTCTTGTCTCAAACAAACAAAAAAAGAATAAACCAGCTCTGGCCAGGCACAGTGGCTCAGACCTGTAATCCCAGCAGTTTGGGAGGCTGAGGTGAGCAGATCACCTGAGGTTAGGAGTTCAAGACCAGCCTGGCCAACATGCGAAACCTTGTCTCTACTAAAAACACACAAAAAATTAGCTGGGTGTGGTGGCGCATGCCTGTAGTCCCAGCTATTCGGGAGGCTGAGGCAGGAGAATCGCTTCAACCTGGGAGAAGGTTGCAGTGAACTGAGCTCGTGCCACTGCACTGTAGCCTGGGCAATAGAGTGAGACTCCGTCTCAAAAAAATAAAAAAGGTTTTTGTTTTTTTTTTCTGGGCTCACTGCAACCTCCGCCTCCTGGGACTACAGGTGCGTGCCACCGCGCCCAGCTAATTTTTGTATTTTCAATAGAGATGGGGTTTTACCATGTTGTCCAGGATGGTCTTGATCTCTTGACCTCATGATCTGCCCGCCTTGGCCTCCCAAAGTGCTAGGATTACAGGTGTGAGTCACCGTACCCGGCTAAAATAAAGGTTTTAAATTTTGATTGCAATTAATTGCCCTCTCAGAGTGGTTCTGTAACTACTACTACTGCCATTTACTATCCATTAAAACAGCATAGTTTTAATTCCAGAAAAAAGTCAATAAGCAGAAATGTGTCACACTCCCTTTATTTCTCTTAAGATTTCTGACCCTACCAGCCCTGAAGGAGATGACCTCAAGGTAAGAACTTGACATGTTTGAGAAAATTATGACTACAGGGAAGATTCTGCAGTAAATGCTAGTGGAGTGGGACAGCAAAAAGATGAGACCCAGATCAAGCACTTCCTCTTGAGAAACACAAGTACCTCTTTCAGGTGTAAAATGCAGCCATTCTGCTAGCCATTCAATGTCTTTGAAATCTCAGGCCTGTCAAGGACCACTGGTTTTTTGAGACAAAGTCT